GTTTAGGTTAATTTCTGTTAATATAAAGCCCGAGTTGTGCTTTTCAACTGCAAGCAGTAGTTAAATAAGTTGTTACGAGTTAGTCACGGCAGATTACGCTAAATGTACATTTCGCGTTCAAAGGAATGCATAATTAAAAGTTAGGCACATATAATTTTATAAGCAAAAGGGAAACATCGCCCCGTCTGTCTGACAATCAGAGGTAGATTAAAAAATTGTGCTTGAGAACCCAAACCAAGCAACCGACTAGTGGTTTGTGAATTATTATTATTATTATGAATTCAAACTGTACGCACGCATGAATACATATAGTACGCAGTGCGGTATATACGCTTTTATCATCTCACATACGTTTACTTCAGTAACGCATCACAAAATCGTTATATTCACGAATGAGCTAAAACTTCTACTTAATTCATTATAGGTACATGAATATTAATATATGAAACATAGCGAATTGTAGGTACGTACATTTGTTTGTTTTGCAATTTACCCTCTAACCTTTTGCTCACCAAAGCAGATAAAGAGGTATTAGTAAAATGAATGAATCTGAATCCATTTAGATTTACATCCATTAATTATTTAATGGGAAATGATTTTATAATGATACTTGTTAAGAGATATTAGTTACCGTATCAAAGTGCATTCTTAAAATATTAGGTAGGCAGTACTATATACTATACTATAAACTTTTACGTGTTCAGAGACAACTCTCCCCACCACTTAAATTAGATATCACAAAGAAAGTCGATATAGAAGATGCAACAGGCGACCCTTCCCGGTTCCGATGAAAAAGGTGGCCGATACGAAAAAAATCCGTGAAAGTTTCGAAAATACAGTACATGGAAAATGCGACAAGTCACATTCCCCTATTTCACCGACCGTAAGGGGCGCTCGATGCTAAATCTGTGGTCCATGCAAAAGGGGCAAGTATTGTCAAAAATGCTACCATTGAAGATGCAACAAACAACTTCCGCAATACGACATAAAGAGCGGCCATGCTAATTCATGGTCTATACGAGTAGAAAAACGGAGATTCGTGCCACATTCGTAATGGAACCTTCTCTATGGACGGCTCGTTTAAATAAAAACGTCCCTTATAAAACTTGCTTCTTAATATATTATTAAAATAAAGACAGTACTCGAGACCGTAAGTCCACGGGAAGGTGGTACTAGGGGATGTAATGTGTTGTAATTTATAGAACCAAAATCTGAAGGTTCATTTATGGCTACACTAACCGTTGCAGTAAAATTTTCTGTGGTTGACAGAAGCAAAATCGAGGATCTGGCCTCGATGTCAATTGTACTTAGTCTTTACAACTGCCTTAATACAGTTTAAAAGTAATTAACAGAACTCTACGAACCGTGAAATAATAAAATTAAAATAAAGTTTATTACAAAAGTAGCAAGCGAAAGAATTAATCTCTCCAGTAAAATTTAATATAAAAATAGCAGTTTTGGCAACTTAAATTCGATGACAAATAAATGGCCCAATTTTAATTAATCCCAATAAAGTGAAACGCAATGTTGCGATAACGTCTGCATTAATTTTGCCTGTCCCCGAACCCTGTATCTACGCATATCAGGCTACTTGCAAATAAATACTATATCTCTAATTCAATTAATTAACGAATTTACCTTATAGTGAGATATTCCGATAGTAGGCTCGCACTGAATATATGTAACCAATTCTTCTAACCTGCACATTTCTACTTAGTCGGTTTCGACAAAATTGCACCTTTTCTAACTATAATCGATGAATTCCATTCCATGAAAGGTTTTTAACTGACCATCCGAGCGCTTTTACAAGTTAAATATCCATTCCTTAAGAACAATATAAAACAATTAAACATTCTGGAAACGTACATTTTTCGCATTTATTACTTTAGTCGCATAATCGAATTCTGTGACCCCACGTCATAAATTATTATAGCTTGTGTTTAAAATCGTAGGCACTATGTTTTGTTAAAAAAAACCGGTTTATACGGAAAAGAGTATGACGTATATTAGTAATAACGAGGGTCTAATACATAAATGGGCGTGTAAAATAAATTTCGTCTACGAAAGTTACAAAGCGCATACGCATTTGTTATTTCCATTTTAAAATTCCAGTTAAGAGTTAAAGATTCTTACTGCTTATAATTATCACTTAACAAGTATCTATAAAGTGAATCACTTCGGTACCTACACTCCTGGAAACTTTTTGGAAATTTAAATTGGAAACTCACAGATTCTTGAAAATCGAAAATCTTTTAAAGGTTTTAACCAAGAGCCTTTACAAGGCTTTTGTAAGGCTCTTGAAGCACCTGAATAGGCCCATAAGACACCTGAAAGGTTTCAAAGGTGTTAAAGGCTCGGTCTCCGGCTCGTTTTTTAAAGAGCGGAGATTTAACGATTTTAAAAGTTTCTCGTAAAACCTTGACAGCTCATAGCAAACATTTGGGATCATTAAAATCACACAAAATCTTTAAACGGCTGGTTAGAAATAATAAATGTAGGCCATTTTGAAGACATCTAGTGTTTAAAGGTTCTCTACAAAACTCTTAAACAGCCTTAAACTCCCAATGTTCTAAAGGCTCGGCTTTTGAAGAGTGAGGGATTCCGGTAGACGTTATGGGATTCTTCTAAGCCCCTCGAGACTGCTTGCCACTCTTTAGAGATCTTTGAAAACCCATAAAATTGTTTAAAGTCTATTGGACAATTATAAAATAAATACTCTTTAAGCAAAGCTTCTGAAGACAAGCGTATTAAGGTTCAAAGGCTTTAGAATTCAAAAGCTAAGTAAAAGCGCACAAATCCTGCAGAAGACTAATTGATTTTTTAACTCTAAAATATTCTCAAGGGCGTTAAATGGCCCTGGAGTCCAAAACCTAAAAAAATGATCTCAAACCAGAACACTCCCTGGGGGCCTTGAATTAAAGGTTCTCTAAAGGCTATAAATGTCCATTTTAAAATTGAAGGTTTTGTACGCTTGTATAATTAAGCCCTTTAAGCCTGGTTTTTAAAGAGTGGAAGGCTCTTGGAAGCCCTTTGGGGTTCTTGGAAGCTCCTTTCAGGACTTTTAGGGAATGCTTGTGATCTTTAAATGCTCATAAAATCGAGTTTTATATGGACTTTACAAGGTAAATGTACTTATGGACTTTCAAAGGAACTCAAATAAACCAATTAAATGCCCTAAAAGCCTCTATTCACTTAACATTTGGAGTCCTAAAGACTGTCCAAACACTCTAAAAACCTTTAGGATGCTTATTGGTGCTTTTGAAAACTGTTTGATTTCTCTTGAAGCACTTAAGTCTGCAGTGCAGGACGAAGGCACGAATCTTAAAAAAATATGGAAAATCTTAAGGAATCTAAATAATCTAATAATGAAAATTTCGATTAGCGCTGCGCTAGATTTGGGAAAAACTCTAGGAAACATTTAGCAGATATGAATGATCGATAAATAAACTTAAACTATTAACCCTCTCGTACAGATTGAGATTTGCTAATTAGTACCATTTGTCTAACTAAACATATACAATTAATGCATATTCAGAAACTAAACGTTGATAAAACTGAAGATATAATTAACGAAACGCTTCGTTTGGTCCCATTATGTGGGTATTATCGCTATAATACACGCGTCTGTGAACGGCGGCGTCTCTCTAATTTCCCTAACTTCAAATTTCCGGAGTCACCCCGTTATCGATTAAGTTTCAACATTAATTTGCATTCAGAAGGAAAAAGTCGTTATTAATTTCACGTGACACACAAACATACGAGTGAAAAAAGACGGGGAGATATGGCGATTTGCGGTATTTGCTCGGTTGTGCTTTAATTAGACGCTCACCCCATCATTCCATTAACTTAATTGGTTGACGACATATATGCGAAAGTCACGGTTTATTTGGTCTCTTTCGTCTAATAAAATAATTGTACTTTATTACCGAAAAGCGCTGTCGTGCGGTATTGCGGATATAATATTAACTACTGCTTTTACACAGTGGATTTACACATCGATATTTATTAAGACGTAGACATAGGGATTTATGTGTATTGTTCTTCTCTATCTACTTTTAAAAGACAACATCTCTTCTGAAGGGCGTCAGACAACGAAAATGGAGACAAAAACCACGAAATTTGTTGTGTACATACTTGATGAGTTAAGGAACAAAATTATCGACCGTTTTTTAAAATCACTTTTCAAACAAAAGTTTTTACTTATTTGAAGTCTGGGCCTTCGGGTTACAAAGTGTCCCCCGCCTACTAGTGAGTGATCTAATTTCGCATTAATTTATTGAAAATGTCGCAAATAACAAAAAAAGAAATTATAAATATCGCTTTCGGACAAAGCCTCGGTCACTTCAAAAACTTGTTTACAACGCAACGGTTGCTAAAATCTCAAATAGCACAGCTAATCTGAAAGATACAATGCAAATGAATCTTCATAGTAAGGAAGTAATCGTAGACAAAATTGGAATCGGTAAAATCAAATGTTCGGCAAAAACAAAGTACGCAGTATCTCGTATAACGGAGCGATATACAACAGTAATGTTCTCCAAGGTTTCGTTAATATACTTGCGGTTAGAATTCATGAACAGTTATCGAAGTGTAGGTCAACAAACTTCGTGTATAATTAGGTTGCAGGTACTATTGGTGGAATTGAAGTAAAATTGTCGCAGCCGGTAATGTAGAAACCCATATATGGCGTTCTCCATTTAATCAAAATGGCGGGGGACTTCCCCCAATGACTTTTCCTTGCGCAATATTGAGAAAATCCAAAATTCGGCGATTTCCAGTCAGAAATATCGATGTACAAAGCACAATCCGGTAGGTAATAATTAAGACAAGAGGAAAACGTAAGAACGCTAAAAAATGATTATTTAAAGTCAAAAGTAATGAGTAATGAGTTTTGTTACATACATACATAAAACGGCCTAAAAAAACTTGTAAAATATGTCCGCAAATGCGTCAGAGAAGTATCAAGTAACTAATAATAATAATCCTTATTGTTCAAACAGGTGTAAAACAAACCTAGAATAGGCGTGTATGTCCTACAAGTAATCATCGAATCTCGTCTTTCCATAAAGAAGTGCGTGCGCCGATAGTAATTAAAGAAATCTCTTACGACCTCGGGCGGCGACACAAATAACTAGGTGAAAGAAATCTATAACACGAGAATACCAAACTATAGGTAATAAGAAATTTATACTAAGATAATAGCAAACCTATTACAGGAATTACCTACATCTAGAACTAGTGGATTACAAACGAAACACCTAGATGGCCTGAGAACATCAAGTAATAATTGAACCGATCCATCGCTGGTCCTGGTATCGAAGAAGCTATAAGAGTAGCGGTAATGATGGAGATAAAACACTTAAAAGTTATACACCACTCAACCACATAACACGTGTGGTGCCAGGGCATTCAAGAAGATATTACTCTCGCAACAGTTTTTTTTTGCAAGTACATACGTATAAATTATGTTTGGACGGATGAGTATCATTGTAATTTTTGATTAAGGACCAGTGTGTTTTTCTAAATTGTGTAGTATTTCGTCGTGACGAATGATTTTTGGCGGGTTCTTAAAGGCGTTGGACAACTTATATTGGCTTTCGCTTGCACTTCGTTCTTTTCTTAGGCACCGTTTAAAGAACAGTTCCGTCCATCGCTGAAAATATCCATGTAGGTAATAGTTTGTAATAGTATTGTTTTTGGCGATTCACCAGATTTTTGGTGTATTTGTCGAAGTAATTTTGGAATCGAGTTTTTGCTCTTTTTGGAGGTTATAAATTGATTTCATTTAGAAGTAGCCGCCATTTGCTTAATCACTTTATTGCCTTATGTGCGTTCTAGCCCACTGCCAGTCGAAGATTGAAAGTGACTGTTGCCATCTAGAGATATATTAATTTTTGTGATATACGTTAATTCTTTTTAGGTTTCAAGTGTCCTACTTCAAGTGTTAATTTCTCGTTTTAATTTTAATTGTGAGTACCAGTTCTACGTCATAGTTCGAGCGTAATTTCAAGGTCAACTTTACGTCCATGCTAATTACGAGTTTGATTAACATTTATCTCTTATCAAAGTCACCTAGTCTGCCAGACGACTGACTGTACCATTTTGTGTGGAATGCGTATGCGAATCCAAGGTCAACCTGTAATATCGGCTAACCGGTTATAACAACGCTGGGAATGAAGATAAGTTAGCATAAGCTATTAATTTTAGAATTAAGCAAATTTATAATTATTGAATAATTCCTCTTCAAGGGTTATACCAAAATCGTAACAACCATGCTGAGAACCCCTTAGGGAGAGGAGAGTTCTCATCGATGTGCAAAATTCTTATAAAGCTGTTTCAACGTGTTCTTCCCGTGTGGTAACCTTCTCCCCTGCCTCAATGAATCGGCGAAGATCCGTATCTGACAGTACCTTGTTCTTCTGATACATCAAAACAGAAGGTAAGTGTCAGTTTCTTATTATTTTTACTATTACTCAAAAAAAGAAGACTTCTGCGAGGAAATATTTATTGTTCGTTATTTCTTCGCGAACTAAAGGTATTCATTCTGTTGCACACGTATTTAAAATTTGTTTGGACAATGGGAACCAAGATGAAAACGTATTTGTTGGGAAATAAATATACTTCATTAATACAGTAACTGCATATTATTATGGAGATTAAATTATAGCCCCACGGCAACCCTTTCTGTTATTATAAAAGATTACCACCGTGAATATTTTATGACCCGGAAACCCTCACAACGCGCATTTATAACAACTTCCATCTGCGGTTCCATATTTACGCCTGAAATGTGAGTTTTTTTAACAACGCTTGTGCAACGAATTCGTTGTGAGAAATTCATGCGGGCCATTTTAATGCAATTGTACTTAATTAGTAAGACAAATAAAAATATTAATTACATAGAGCTATGGCACTAAATCTCATCCCAAATCGTCGGCCATTTACTCTTTTACTTTGTCTCCGCTATGTTCTTGTAGTAGGTACATTTAAATACCTACGTGAACTTGGCCCCCCAACATTAGAAAGCAATAATTTTCGTGATTGAAATGGATTGCGGCTCGTTAGCGCAAAATTGAATTGTGTTCGCGCGCTGCCGGTTTCAAAATTACGAAGGAATCAAATTGGGGGGGGGGGGGGGGACTTCACAACTGCCCCCCAAATTTACAAATGTGACATTTTTTTCCTTGTGATCGTTTGCGCTCCCAATACCTTTGCGCCCCCGTACAAAATTCCACACTGGCCCCCCATTTTTCACATTTGCCATTTTTTTCCATTTGATGGTTTGCACACGTTTGCGCACAATTGCATTTTGTTTGCGCGCTGCCGGTTTCAAAATTACGAAGGAATCAAATTTGGGGGGAGGGGGGGCAACTTCACAACCGCCCCCCAAATTTACAAATTTGACATTTTTTTTCCTTGTGATCGTTTGCGCTTCGTTTGCGCTCCCAATACCTTTGTTTGCGCTCCCAATACCTTTGTTTGCGCCCAAATTCGGGGGGGGGGGGGGGGCAACTTCACGACTGCGTTTACAAATTTCAGTACTGTGTATATTCTTAGTGCAGTTTTATTTGCGAATGTACTTGTAGACAATTTTTGCGTTGTAGTTACCGGTTTGTAGTCTATCGCGTAGTTAATATATTAGCGTAGTAGCCGCATTCTTTAAATTATTGTTTGTGCAATGTGTGTGTGTCTTTAAAGACGTCTCCAGGTTCTTGATTCGTTCAATTTCCACAAGGTTCAAATGCAAGAAAAATATCCCATTCCTAAAGATAAAAAGCAACTACAGCTGCAGAAGCTCTTAACATAATATAATCTGATGACATGCCTTATATAGTTGTAATTACGAGTATATTAAAAAGATGCAATAGTCGTGGTAAAGGATCTTTCATGCTTGATGAGAAGGGAAAGGAGAAAATACGAAACCTTCCCCCAAATGATGTCTCGCATAATATATTTTCGTTAAAATGGTACAGTTTGGGTGTGCATAAAGGAACTTGCTTTTCATTAAAGTAATCTACAATTTACGACTGTGTATGCAAATAACGAAGGGATTTGAATTTACACTTTGGAAATAAAGAAGACGAAGTAAATTGCATATTATAGTGGCGTCTTTTGTTGTGCCAGATATTGCAGAACAAAACAATTTCACTTTTTTATTATCCCTTACTGCAATTTCTACAGAACAATCCTGTTCCTTTGTCTCGTTTCATTTTATACTATCCATGAAGCGTATGCAATTTAATAAATTGATAAGATGTTTTGACTGAAATAGTGAGGGACTTGTCTGAATGAAACTTGGAAAAATCACGAGTTCGAATCTTCACTACGTCCTTTCTTTATATGCCATTAATTAGAAAGAGGCGGCCATTCATTGCTTTTGTCAAAAGTCCTTTTGTAACTGATTATTTCCAATTCATAACTTGCAATAACAGTGCGCACAACCTAAACACGGCAACAGCACTCCGTCTCTAAAAATTGTCATTAAATATATGTTCTTAATTAGGGTGCTTCTTACCATTTATTTTCAATGAATGTATTGAATTGGAAATGGATTAGGTTTTCAGATCAGCCTGAAAAGTAAAATTAACTGAAGTTTAACTTCCGCAGAGAGTGTGGTCAACGAGAAGGACAGACTTTCCTGTGCCCCACGTTCGGCACCAAATAAATAATGCTGTGCGCAATAGTATGCGGTCAACTACACGATCGACAAGAAACAAAAAAACTTTAAATTAAGAGTTTTGTAATTTCTCTCCATACACATCAGGCATAGGCCACAAAGAAAAATTCGAAATGCAACAGCAACAACTACTGAATTTCACTTTTCTTTGGAACACAATTCGATAGCAAAACAAGTTGGTTTGATGAACACAACTTAAACTATCGGTAGCTGTTCGAACGGGAAACAGTTTTAACTTTACTAACAAAATAACCTCCTAGGAAGGACTCGTTAAGCACCAAAATCCCATTAGTCCACAAAATTATCGTACACGCTCATTTTTCCGCCGAGAGAGGAACAGCCCCGTTTCTATCTAAATTTCCGTATTTTGCAGAGCACCATCTCCTCTAATCTATCCAACTTCCGCCAATCTCAAATGCAATACCAATACGGAACGATTGAGGTGTCCCCTCTTCCATAACACACGCCGCACCTGCAATCTTCCCAGTCAGTGCCAAACCCACGTGCGTCTTGAAGTTAATTAACTTTAGCGATAAACAACGTCCTTATCGCAAACTTGGTCGAATGTTTAATCTCTATTTTAACAAAATAAATCAAAAATACGACAAAACTACAACAAAAATCTATGCGATTACAAGACAAATGTAAAGGTAAAAAATAGACACCAAAATAACAAATTCAGATGAAATAAACCAATTATTTGATTATTCATCGATACTCCCCCCTCATACTCATACTCATATACAAGGTGACCCGTTATTATCATTTGCATTATTTCAGCCTATATAACGTCAACCTGACATTTATATGTTAAACGAACAGAGTGGTTTACTGGTTAGGGCACTAGATTACTAACTGAGAGGACTCGGGGTCGATTCTCTGTTCCTGCGGACCGTCGCGTCGTTGCCGCTTTCTCATCTGTGGGGTCCATGTAGTTTATAAAATCGAATACCTGGCGTAGGAGTATAGTATTTACTACACTAACTCCGTTCCTGATATGGCCGAGGGCAAATTAAGTGGCCCGAGTACACTTACACCCGCATATGCGGGAGGGAGCGAGGGCGATAATAGGATGCCAAAACTACAAAAAGGAATTCAGAATTCATCCTAGTTCAAGGTTTCTCTTGAATTACTCTCTCAATGACTCTCTCTTTTATTCACCAAATAATTTTGGAATTTTCTCAAGACTTTTTCCTCTACAATTTTGATGAAATTCCCCGGAATAACTCCTGAATTCCAATTTTAAACTTTCCAAACCCCCACCCGCACCTTTGATTCGTTTTTAATCCCTCGTGGTTTTTTCTTTAATTTTTCTTCTTGAATCTAAAATTTTCCAAATGCATCTAACGTACCTACATTTTTATTTTCCGTAATTCCTTTTGATTTTGTTCTGAAGTCCTTCCCAATTCCTGAATAGGTATTTTCTCATTTATTAATTTAAATTTAAACGAGTTAAGCACGCATTTCAGTGTTTTCGTGGGGAGAACGAGTGTGCGCATTAAGATAGAGGGAGAGACGCATTTAGGTATGCAAGATGAACTTGGCGTATCTGTATGTGGCGTTTAAATTATGATTTAGTGGAAAAAGTACTAACTATTGTTCCACGAGTGCTCTTCCGTACACATTAACAATAGATCAAGGTGTAGCAGAAGCACCAATCGAGCATTTTAGAAGCAGTAAAATGCGTTGACCTCCTTCCACTTCACGTGCTTAGAGAAAAAAGCAGTCATTTACATTTCATTGTTAATACCTCCGATATTTTATGAAGCAGTTCCCATTAGACTGCTATGAACAAGATGTAAAATTGGAAGAAAGCTGCCGTTGTTATAATACTGCGTTTGTCCTTGTACCGTTTTTGTGTCGAAATTGTTGGAAACCTGGGTCGTATTACATGCATGTTTCTATGTGACGTCATACCGGTCCGTTCAAGATAATGGTACATGTTTTCCGCTACGTATTAAGTAAACTACGTTGCGTTTGCGTTTCTCAACAATCGTTCGTTGCGTGTAAGATTTTGGGATACCTATAACGTTTGCATCATAAATAACAGACGACGTATTTGCAGTTGACAGTATTTATTGATTTATAAGCATAATTCAGGTAACGTATCGATTTGGATCTTGAAAGGATATTTAAATTAAGCGCATTCTCTGAGTACGTTCCCGGGTTTCCTTGTCATAAACCTTTCCAAATTAAGTTTTCGATATATCAATACTACATTATAAATAAAATAATGTAATATCATCATACTCTTTATTTACATTTATTACATAATTCCCATAAACAATTCCCTTTCGAATTAAGCATATACACGCCCTGAATTCCGCTAGAATATTCTGTTTGGATTTTTTCCGAAACTCCCGGAAAAATCTCCTAAATTAGTCCGGAGGATTAGCAAATAATCGTGCACTTTTGTATAGAAGCATGAATTTTTGTATACGACTTACCTATACCCCGACAGTCATTTTAAACATTAGAGCCACTCTGGCTCTCTGCCAGGGGGGGCGTAGGGTGTCCATTTCAAAATGGCGGCTTTAGCCATGGTACCCATTCGGTAATAACTCTGCCAACTCGCAACCATTAGGACTAGAACAAAATTAAAACACGGATCTTGTTGAGCACAAACTTAGTTAAAAAAAATGGTATATTGATATTTACCCTAAATGTATTGAGTGTGGTTTTAACATATAAATTAAATTTAATTAATTAAATTAAATTATAATGAAATTGTAATTTTATATTATTTGTTTTGTCCTATTCTTCGTATAGTAAAATGTTATATGTACCTAGTTTGAAAAGAAAATTGTAGCTTTA